GCCGCTGCCCGCCTCCCGCGGCCGCCTCCCCCGGGCAGAAGTTCTGAGCGATGGCTTTGGCCCTCGCTGCTCGGAGGAAAGCCCGAGGAGCTGCCCGGGGCATGGGGGCTTAGCGTGTTCCTCGTGGTCTCTGATTGCAGCGGGGGATCTCGCTGCGTTTCGCTTGGCACGCAGCTGATCAAGTATGCGAACTTGGTGGGCTTAACATGTAGAAATAATAATAAAAAAATTCTTGCAACCTGAAACGATGTTTTTTTCTATTAATTACTTCTCTAGACCTGAAACTTGGTAAAAAAGTTAACGAAGGTAAAACGAAAGAAGTGTACGAGCTGCCAGATATCCCGGGATGTGTTCTCATGCAGTCAAAAGACCAAATAACAGCAGGGAATGCAGCCAGGAAGGACCGAATGGAGGGGAAGGCTGCCATTTCCAACACAACAACTAGCTGCGTGTTTCAGTTGCTTCAAGAGGCTGGTAAGTATTTCCGAGGTAGACTACATGCTTGCATATTACAGGTATTGTTATAAACCAGTATTGTTTCTATATATTGGTTTATCCTGCCTTGAGACTGCTATGTTTTTTTGACTATCTTTTGTGTTAGTTTTTAGTTATGCTTTTCCCTTAGGTGCTGTGGAGTTGGGTGGGCAATTTGTTAATTTGGAACATGAAACTCTGAAGTAATCTAATCGCAGATAACACTGCAATAGTGTCTCCTGCTTGTTTAGACACACCCCTAATCCTTTCCTCTTCTTTTAGTCGGTTCTTTCCTGCTGCTGTGCCCCCTTGCCTGTAGTACTGTATTGGATGCATCTTCCCTTTCTTACTAACATCTGCCTGCATAGAAGTCAATGCTAGCTAGTGGCACTACCACACTATGTCTAAGCTGTGTGAAATTTATATATGAGAGTTAGAAGATAAAATTAGAGTATCTTTTAATGTATGGTTTGTTTTTTTTTCTTATCCCCACTCAGCTGTATGTGCTCTATCAGTGTAAAGTTTCTGTACATTTTATGGTAAAACACTCGGGAGGACTGTATCACAAATACATGTGTTGGTCTGTACTGAATGTGTTGGGAACTTACTGGTTACTTTAAAAGACTCAAAATATTTCTGATGCTAGAATCAAGCTTTCATGGGGTACATAACTTGACTCACTCAAGTTGTGCACCGCATTTCCAAAAATGGAGTCTTTGTTTGAAAATGCTTTGTTTGAAAGCATTTTAGAGTGTCTTTGAGAAGTTTGCAAGCTGCAAAGAGGAGTTTGTTCTGATGAGTTTCCAGAGTTTCTAGCTTGAGCCTGCAAACAGTACTATAATAGAGGCACCAGTAAACTTAGTGAGGACCACTTACAGCTGCATGGTCAGTCAGGCTGAAGCATTTGCACAAAGATTGCTTCAAGTACTGTCTGAGTTACTCTAGAAGTTGTATTATCTGTTATAAAGTGTAGTAATAGTTCTCAGACAGTCAAACAGTAAAGTCCTAGCATGTTTCATATATGGGGAAGAGAAAGATGGTTTCTGCAGTCTGTTATCAGCTGATTAAAACTACCAGTTTTCATTCAGGATCAGTTAATATGTTTTGCCTAATTCCAAATGGCAGTAGTTAAGATCTTAAAAATCAAAATACTTTATATCCTACAGACATGGACTTCAAATGTGAAGCAGCTGTGCTGCAGACCTCTGAAAGATCCTTTAAGTGGCTTGTCCTCCGTAACTTCCAAGTCCTATGGGGAAAATATGTAAACTGCAGCTGTATTTTAAAGCAATAAAAGAACTTTAAGGGTTCCAGTTTGCTTTCTTGACTGGCATAAACTGCAGATAATGTGAATGCCTCATGGCAGAAGTAGTGTGTTTGCTTTGCGCAACTCTTCTTAACCTACTCTTTCAAAGGTGATGATTTACAAAGTTCAGTTAAAATTTCTCTCCCTTTTATAATAGTAATGTAAGCCCTTCTAGGGCATGCATTTGAACTGATAAAAAAATGGAGTAAACCATGCAGGGGCCTTAATGCCTGGAAGTAGAATTAACTTAATATGCATTTGATTATCTAAATCATTCTAGTCTCGAGGGCGATGCAACAAAATTTGAAGGGTCATTGTTAATACAATATCTTAAGGCTTCCATTCTTCCTTTATGGCTCTGGGAGAGGAACAGAATAGAGCCACTACTTGGTTTGACTAGATGCAGCTCCTTTGTCTTCAGCTTCTGGCAGATGTCAATTGGGCTTGGCAGTTGTCTTGCCCTGTCAGGACAAAAGTGGGACTTTCCTAAGTCAAGATTGAAAAAAGAGCCATTTGCACTTCGAGTGCCTGTCTGCATGTGTTGGCTGTCCCTGCTTGATATAGGGTCATCTTAGAATTGTGTAAGTACACTGACTTGCTGCAGCAGGTTTGTGTGCATGTGCACTTCTTAATCTCAGTCTCCTTGCCTAACAAATCACTACGATCCAATGCCCTAAATAAATGTTTATAATGAAAGGACTAAGTCATTCTTCCCTGTCCCATCCTCCCTTAGCAAAGTATTAAAGACTACCATGCTCCCCAACTACTTTGAAAGCCTCCAAGTACTGCTCTAGGTATAATGGATCTTCCACCAGAGGGCATGGTTGGGTACTTGGTTACTGCTAACTTTTCTTTAGAAACAAACCATTATGAGGTTTTTTTAAAGCCCCATGATAAGAATTCTTTACAAGAATAAGATTTCTGACTGGAGTGTAAGGTTCTGAGATACAGATGAGCATCATATGATTAAATTGGCAAAACTTTAATGACTTGTGCAAGAAAACTGCATGGATTGCCTTTTGCAAGGCCAGAGTGGGCTTTAAATACCCTGAAGAGATTTGGAGTGTCCCTTAAGTCCAGAGAAGAACAGGATTCAGTTGTGCTTAAAGATGTTTTTGATTCTTGCTTCAATTGCGGGTTGTGCCCAGTGAAAGAACTAAGCTGCCATCTTTATATTTAGGAATCAAAACGGCTTTTGTCAGGAAACAGAGCGACACAGCATTCATAGCAGCTCACTGTGAAATGATCCCAATTGAATGGGTGTGCAGAAGAATTGCTACTGGCTCCTTCCTCAAAAGAAACCCAGGTGTCAAAGAAGGATACAAGTTCTACCCACCCAAAATTGAGATGTTCTACAAGGTAAGTTTCCTTTCCTGTGATATTAATCAAACTGAAACAGAGCTGGAATTCTGTATTAGCTTCTTTAAAATGCTGACAAATAAAGCAAGGAGCACTAGTGGCTGGCCAGTCCTCTTAGTATTGCTAATTTTGCCATTGAAAAGTTTTCTTGCATTCTTGACCCAACAGCTGTTATGTCTAAAGTGCATATAATATAATACTGACTTACAGGGCCATCAAAGAATTAACAAGTCAAACTGTACATAAAGTAGAAAAGTCTTGTGCTTATAAGGGATGAGGACTTTTTGGGTGTAAGTCTAACGCATCAGTTAAAATGGATGTTTTGATGTATTTGAAGAAATTAAAATAAGCAATACTGGCATGGTAGGGGTAGGTAGCTCGTTAGTCACTTAGGATTCTGCCCTTTTTTGGGAACGTGTCCTGAAAGGAGTGTCTTGTGTACTGTGGCTTAGTGGTGTTGGTAGGGTACCCTGCTGCTCCTGGGGCACTGTCCAGATGAGATGCTCAGGTGTTAAAGCAAGTGTCTCTGATGTTGCTCTCACTTGTTTTTAGTGCTAATCATAAAATATTAGTTTGGAGCCTGAATTTGTTTTTTGAGAAACAAACAGAACCCAGTATTATCTTCTAATGATTATTTTCCTCTGATGCATCATGTAATTTAAGCTTGCTTTGGTTTTCTTAACAGGATGATGCTGCTAATGATCCACAGTGGTCTGAGGAGCAGTTAATTGAAGCAAAGTTCTGTTTTGCTGGACTTACTATTGGCCGGACTGAAGTGGATATTATGGCTCGTTCTACTCAAGCTATTTTTGAGATTCTGGAAAAATCATGGCAGCCCCAAAACTGCACTCTAGTAGACCTGAAGGTACAAGAATCTGAGTTCTTGTGATCCTAGTTCTGACAGAAAATATGTTACTGTGTAGTTCCCAAAGTAGGATTTTGTTATTGTCTTTTTAGATTGAATTTGGTGTTAATGTTCTGACAAAAGAAATTCTTCTTGCTGATGTTATTGATAATGACTCATGGAGACTGTGGCCATCAGGAGATAGAAGCCAGCAGAAGGACAAACAGGTAGTGTTTTAAACTTTGCCTTCTAACTCAATTGGGAAGGAGAATGAAAAAAGTAAACCCTACAGATAAACATCTGCTTTCAGAGTGGCTTTTTCTAGATAGTCTTATCTTGTTAAGAGTACCTAACATCCAATCCTGTTCTCATTAAATAGTCAATTATCTGGTTTATGGTGGAAAAAAATCCCCTGCCTG